CACTTTACTTCCTGCCCTGGATATTTAAAGAGCAGCTGGCAGGGTTGTTAGACACAGCATGGATTCAAGGAAATTAAAAAATCAGAAGCCCTTCCGTGGACAAACTGCATCGTCTCCAGGCAGCGGGGAAGACAGCTGTGTGGGGCTCTCTGTCAGCCCCAATCAGAAACAGTAAGTCCAGCTGGGTCTGCACTTACCAAGGTCAGTTTCCAGTACTGTGGAAACAGCTGCCACGTGCTTTTGAGTGGCTTGAGAGTTAGCCACGTGGTCAGCTGTTTGTGGGAGACAGAACATCTTGTTAGAGGAGATAAGACAGCCTTCTGGACAGTCTGAGGTGTGACCAGGGGAAGTCTCCACCCCCTTCTACACCATTCATGTGCCTTCCACACATAAACAATCCTAAGCTACAGAGATTTGCACACACTCAAGCAATCCTTAAGTATCTGCCTCCCAAAACCAGAGTTGGATTTAGCTTAGGGCACATTTAGCTAAAAACATCTTTTCTATTACGTTTCTACTATTGTGATTAAGCACCATGACCAAAAACAACTTGGGGATGAAAGAGTTTATTTTAGCTTACAAATCTCAGTTCATACTACATCACTGAAGGAAGTCAGGGCAGGAACCTGGAGGCAGGAAGTGGAGCAGAAACAATGAAGGAACCTGCCTACTGGCCGCTCCTTATGGCTTGCTCAGCCCAAGACCACCAGAGTGGCCCAGCCACAGTGAGCTGGACCCTACCCCATCAACTGTCAACCAAGAGAATGCCCCACAGGCTTGCCCACACATGGGGGGGGGATATTTTCTCATTTGAGGTTCACTTTTGCCAAATGACTCTAGCTTATGATAAGTTGACATAAATCTATCCAGCACAGCGAGGATTCCCAATTCTAGGTGGGTATTCCAAGAAGCAATAGTCACAACCTCTCTTCAGCTTTTTACTTCTTCCATTTATCTGTCTGTCTGTCTGTCTGTCTGTCTGTCTATTTTTGAGACAAGGTCTCTCCATGTAGCTATGGCTATTCTGGAACTCACTATGTAGAGCAGGCTGGCCTTGAACTCATAGAGATCACCATGCCTTGGGTTCCCAAGTGCTGGGATGAAAGGCATTTGCCACCACAGCCAGCAACACAGTTCTTAATTAGACCCTGGAGAGAGAAAGTCAGCTGAGCCATCCCTCCTTCCTACTTTCCTCTTCTTACCCCACATTCAAAAAAAAAAAAAAAAACCTGGACTGATTCACAAATCATGTAATAATATGTGTGAAAAAAAAATAGAACATTATAAACAAATAAGAAAATTGCCACATAAAAGAATCTGCAGAACCCCAGGTTGATTAGCGCATCAGGCCTTGAACAGAACGATACCTCCTACCCTCCCTCTGACTGACCCCAGACCACAACCTTGGTCTTCTTCCCAGGGAATAGGAGACCGAAATAAAAACTACACAGTTGGAAGTACAAAGTTGCCTCAGGAGTGTGTGCAGGATGAGCCAGAGGCCGCGCAGCAGGAAGCAGACACAGATGAAATGGCCTCTTCCTGGGGGCGGGTGGGGGAGTAAGGAGGAGGGTAAGGGACAGCTGACCTGGCCCTCACTCCATAACCTTGACAAGCAAGTCTGCTTTGAGGCTAACGCTGCAGGCAGGCGTTGAGACACACAGCAGGGCTCAGCAAAGAGGAGCTTTCAGAACACCTTTTTATTCCTTGCCTACCCCTCACAGATTGACACGGAACTGTCCTCTCTGGTCAGAGGGAACAACCACCTCACAGCTCCATGCTGGGGTGTCTTGTTCTGGCCAAGAGCCCCTTTTCTTGGCACCTCTTTCTGCTGGACGACAAGAGTTCTCCGCATACCTCAGTCCTGCCTAGATCACAGCACCTGAGGCCGACAAACAGTCAGTCAGAACCAGCTCAGACACCAGGCTTCAGCTCCAGGGTAGGGGTGGGCTGCTCATTTCTGTAGAATCCAACAGAATGAAAAACTCCAGGCCTTGTGAGGCAAACACGGATCTGTGCTTTTGTGGGAGGAAGGATCTTTTGATTTAAAAATAAACAATCACGCCATGCAGTTCACAAAGCCAGCCGACTCCTGCCTCTGCCAGCTCTGCATCTTAGCTCTGCGTGGGCTCATTGGTGAATGGAAGCATGCGTGGGCAAGGGGGGAGGCAGGAACAAAGGGTCAGAATGAACACTGTAAAAGGTGCGCTCCAGCTTTGGCAAATTCAGGCCCATTACTTCAGCCAAGGTTCGGCAGGGCCCCTTATCCCTACTGGTGTGGGGGCTACCCGAGCAAACTTACAAACAGGCCTCCATGGAACTTCAGAATGATAGCTCAAGTCACACCTCAGAAAGAAGCCCTGAGAACTTGGACAGCATGAGGCCCTGAAATTCCATACAGAGACAGAGGGCAGGGGACTTGGGGAGCAACAACACCCAAAAATGGGAAAATATGAAGAGAAAGTCAACGGACTGCCATGAGATGCACCCCCTCCGGCCCATTCAGCTACGACTAGTCTCATAGATCACTGAGGTCATCAGGGATACTCTCTGACACAGATGTAGCGGAAGCGGAGGTCCCAGTGCAAGAGCTAAAGCGCTGCAGAGAGCAGTGTGGAGCCATGCGGGATGGAGGCGATAGCCAGCCTCCTGGAGTGTGGCTCAAAGTGTGGAGGGCAACCCACTCTGATGGCCCTGGGCCTGCCCACTCAAGTTATCAAGTCATACAGGAAGAATCAGTCCTTCCACCCTGATAGCATCTAGCCCGGGTTCTAACCCACAGTAAGCACAAGGCTACTTAATGCAATGGAGAAAAAACAAAAACATGGCTCTCCTTCAACCATCTGTTCTGTAGGCCTCAACCCAGGAGCAAGTGTTAATAGCTAAATAAAGAAATAGAAGTTGGGGCTTAGGGTGTAGCTCAGTGGTAGAGTGCTTGCTTAGCATGCACAAAGCCATAGGTTCGATCCCCAGCACTGAAAGATAAATCGAGAAGTAGACAACAGATGCCTCAGCTTTGCCAGATTCCTCCTTTTACATCTTCAGTTATGCATGATTATTTGAGTCAAGGCAATTGTCATGGCTGTTAAGACAAGACCGCAGAGAACACAGCAGCTGCTGCCTTTCACAAGGCTATCTGCCCTGTACAGTCTCTGGTTTACTGAGAATGGTGGCAGCACTCAGGGAGAGTCATGTGGTCAGCCCCAAGGGAAGGGAATGCTGGGGTCAGTGCAGACTGCAGAAGCCAGGTCCAGGGGCCTGGGAATGGAGAGGCTGTCAGCATTTCCTTGAGGCTCCAAAGTCTTCCTGATAAATCCTGGGTCTGCACTGCTGCCCCACAGAACTGCGCTCCTGAGACCATGGTATCGCGTCAGGGACAGCATACCCACCCCAGCACGGACAGGGGAAGAGCGGCTGACCTGACCCTCCTGGATGAGCCATCAGACAACACTGCTGTGTTGGGGTGGCTCACGGTGCAGGCCACACCTTTTTGATAGCATGGCTCAACTTTGCTTGTTGTCAAGGCTGCTGTGTTAGGCAGGTGCCCAGGACGGCCCAATAACTTATTTTCAAACACTTCCACCCTCAGGGCTCCTTTGCTAGCTCTCCCCGAGGCTTCTTCCCTTTCTTTGTGGTTTTGGCAAAGCACTATAAGCTGGCAACGACATAGGAAGGCAGCTCTTCCCATGCTATGCAGGCCCACCACCCTGTCCTGGTTCTCCCTGACCTGCGCCCAGCCTTGTGCCTGTGAAGGGTGACATCTGGCCATCTGGGCCATCCGGTCTCCCAGTAAGAAAGGAATTGACAAGCCAATTTCCAGCCAGTAGGAAAGGAATACAGGAGAGAAAACTGATGGGTATCTTAGCCTACTGGGCTCATCTGGGGTGAACTACAGGGCAAATGCATCACCACAGAACACACACACAGTGAAAGCGGGACACATTTAGCCACCCAGGAAGGAATAAGGGGCCTGTGAACTGGTTCTGGGGCAAGAAGCCTGGAAAAGACCTGTTCAGGGAGTCTCAGGTGGTGGGCAGGAGCCTCCTTTCCATTCCTAAGTGTGTCCTCCAGCTGCAAACCGAACTAGACCCTCAGTGAGAGATCAGGAAGCCAGCGCAGCCCGGGAACAGCCCTAAGCCAGAGCAGGAGCTGAAAAAGCAAAGCCTCCTCCTTCCCTTCCCCGCGGTCCTTTCCTTTGAGTTCTGCAGGGTTGAAACACCCCTGAAGAGCAGAGGCGGGAGGAAGGAGGTGAGTCTGAGGGGAGCTCAGGCCAGGGCTGCAGCTCACCCCTCTCCGCCTGCCAGCCACAGGCGTGCACACTCCCTCCCCTGACACTGATTGTTCTCGTCCATTATGTGTGGTAATTCTGGCCCCAAAGCCTCTTACAAACATTGGTTTTGTGGTAAATCTCCTTAACAGACAAGATTAGCAGAAGGGAGGTGCCATGTCAGAAAGGCCACCGATTGCGCCCTCCCTCCCTGTCGCCGTTCCTTTTCCTTCAGCGTGTCAGGGAAGGAAAATGTCGGTGCAGCCTCCACCCGCAGACCGAGGATTTGCCTTCTGAGAGGAAAAAGGCAGGTGCAGCGCCGGGTAGCAGAGGAGGCCAGGTCCACGGGAGGGCCCAGCCGGTCACCATGCCGCGCTCTGGCCCTTAGGCAGCACGCGGAGCACACGGACACGTAGGGTACACGAGAGCACGCAGGGCTCATAGACACTTGGGGCACGCGCAGAGCGTGGACGCTCGGGGTGCACAAACACACGGGGCGTGGGCACCCGAGGTTGGGCTGTCCCGGGTCCCTAGTGCCGGACGCGGGAGCCCGTGGCCAAAGGGGGTGGGGTCGGTCCCTGGGGAGGGAAACTGAGGCGGGGTGGGGGTGGGGGAGCGAGACGCGCCCCACGTCGCTGGCGAGGACCGGAAGACGCCCGGCGGGCCCGCGGGCCCCGCGGCTGCGCACGGGCACACGGGCCCCACGCCTGCCCCCATCCCGGCGCCCCTCACTCACCCAGGCGCCCCGGGAGCTGCGGGCCGCGGGCGGCCGCGGGGGCGGGCAGGGCGCGAGGCAGCGGCGGCGGCAGCAGCAGCAGCAGCAGCAGCAGCAGCAGCAGCGGGAGCGGCGGCCCCATCCCCGCAGCCGGCTGGCGCTCAGTCCATGGCCGCGCGCGAGCGAGGGCCGACGGGGACCCGGCCGGGCGGCGCCAGCTCCTTTCGCGCGGCTCGCGGCGCTCCTGCGGCGGCGCCGGCCGAGCTTCAGCACCGGACAGCGCCGCCGGCCCCGCCCCCGCCGCCGGCCACGCCCGTGGCCACGCCCTCCGCCAGCCCTGCGCGCTCGGGCACGCCCACCTCGCGGAGACGGGTCGGGGTGCGCGCTCCCGAGAAGCGGGCCCACCCCGCAAGCCCGGGGCCTCGGGGGTCACGCTGCAGTGCCGAGACGGCGAGGACCCTCGGGGTGTGGTTGTGCTGCTCCAACTCCAAGTTCCGCCTTCCTCGCTCGTCTGCGCTCAGCTGCGCGGTAAGTGGCGGCAGCTGTGGGGTGCTCAGGCGCGGATGCACGGGGCTCCACGCCTGCTACAGCCCAAGGCAGGCAGAGTTAGGCCGCGGCGGGAAATCATCGCGCAGGGCCTGGACAGGAGGCTGATGGGGTGGAAGGGCCAGGCGCTCCTCAGACAGCGCAAGAGGAGCCAGGACGATTTCACACCTGTTTGCCTGGGGTCCTTCCATGCTTGCCGTCCAGCATGTCGCTGCAGTGGCCAGTGGAGCCTTGGCCCTCGCTGCCAGGGCTGAGGGACCAAGTGCAGATTCTCAAGCCACTTTCCAGAAGACCCGTAGACAGGATTCGGTGGGCCGGTACCCCGGCATCCGGAGACGTGGGAGGGTGTGTGCATGAGCGGGTTTGTTATGAGGGTGACCGTCTCAAAGGACGCAAGCTTGCGTGTGAGGGAACAGCCCGCTTCCTCCATCACGTCGTCCACAGAGATGGGCTCGTCCCCATTCGTGGCATCGTGGCACAGCTGGGAGCCCCAGCCACCCTCACGTTTGCCCTCCCCTGTTTGGCCGGCCTTCCCACTTCCATCCATCCCTCCTTTCAATGTTCCTTGCCACAATCTCCCTTGGAGAAAGATGGCCTCTATTTGGTCTGACGGGGGTTCGGGATGGCAGTGAGGGAGTTATATTTCCCTCCAGCCTTTCTACAGCTCAGAAAACTAAGTGTTGGGTCTGACCAGCCTGAGATCGGCTCTGGCACCTTTGTCGGGCCGAGCCCGACTCACCTTGTCTCAGCCTCTCCCTCAGACCCTGTGCTGCCAACTAGGGGAGCGAGAGGTCACTTTGGGAGAAAAAGCATGCCCTCCAGAGACATCATTTCACAGCAACGTGGTGTTCTACAGAGCTGCCGCTCGTGGAAGGATGGAAAGCCCAAAACAAGCTTTGGCTCTACTTGCCATTTTCAGTAGCCTGGGCTGTGCATTAGAATCCAGCACTCTACCCTTGAGCAGACTCCAAGAACCACTGCAGGTGTCAGGCCTCAGCCCATCTAGAGTATGTGTGATCCAGGATGCCAAAACAGGAGTGAGCTCAGGGGCGTGGGAGGGTGAAGGAGCCGAGTGATACCTGACAGCCTGGGTGGGCAGAGGCGTCCTCCGAGACCCTAACAGTCTTATCATGAACTTGGGGACAAAAGCAACAGGAAAAGAAAACAGACAACAGGCTCGGTCTTTGATGATAGGGTTACTGGGACACCAAGGTTGGGGACACGCGTCTGTTGAAGGAGTTTTCACAGAACGCTTTCTCAGCTTTTCCTAATGCCGTGTGCAGTTTCTCCAGTACGGAGGAACAGCGAAGTAGCCTGGCACTCACCTAAGTGAGAGGCAGAACATCTCCATGAGGAAGGGCCAACTCCCCACAGCCAGATCTGATCACACTGAACTGACCCAGGTGTGACATACAGAGCCCACACCATCTGTCACAGCCATAGGCAGCTAAGTACCAGGAAGGCCAAAAGAGTTCACCAGGGTGGCAGGTGCCTACATCCTGGAGTGCTGTTTGTTCTGGGCTGTGTGTCTCTCTCCTCATCTAAGCCTTGTTTGTTGTTCAGCAGACTCTAGGTTGGGATTGTTTGTCCTTCCATTATTTGACTTGCTGCTTAACAGTCTCCTGAGTAATGTCCTATCTCACTGCAACGGCCCTGAACTTCAGAGCCCAGTGTCAACATAAAGGTCAAAGAAAATACCCAAGAGGAAAAGTGAAAACAGCATAGGCACAGGAGGCACTGCGAGGATTATCAACAAAGACAGCCACGGGGGGGGGGGGGGGGGGGGGGGGGG